CTCACCATGAGAGCAAGACTTGCATCATCAATTTCATCATCACTTGAGCTCTCATGTTCAACTCTTGCTTTACCCTTCTTCTCTTGGCTAGCCTTGAATGCCAAGTCATTCTTCTTGGTGGAAGAAGAGCCATCTTATGGTGTGATGTGCATATACATCTCATGTGCATTGATCTTTCCCAATATTTAAGTTGGTGTAGCGATGGAAAGATCACCTTGATGAAGCACGGTCACAATATACCCATATTTGTCAATGGGGAGGACACTCAAGATTTTTCTTACAACATCGGAGGGTTGCATTTGTGTAAGTCCTAGCCCATTGACTTCCTCTACAAGAACATTCAAGTGTGAGTATATTTCATTAGCACTTTCTTTAGGAAGCATCTCAAATGAATTAAGCTTTTTCATAACAAGATGATATCGTTCCTCATGCTCACTCTTTGTTCCCTCATAGAGCACACAAATGTCCGACCATAGTGCATGGGCGTCCTTGTGGTTCCGCACATGGTTAAACATATCTTTGCAAAGGCCTCTAAAGATGGTGTTTCTAGCCTTTGCATTCTATTTCTCGTAATTAACTTCATCGCCTTAAAGGTGTGTAGGATCCTTATGTTTTGGGAAGCCTTGAGAGGCGGCTCTAAGAATTCCAACATTTAAAGCTTCTAAATAAGCCTCCATGTGGATTTTCCAATAAGGAAAATCATCTCCCTCAAAGATAGGAGGAGGTCCATCCCCGTGGGACATCTTTCTCTAGGCGGTTAAGCCTAAATTAGCGAGCACGAGACTCTTATACCAATTGAAAGGATCAAGATGCCCAAGAGTGGGGGGGTGAATTAGGCTAATTCAAAATTCTTTGCAATAATAAATTCCTACACTTAACCCACTTCACCCCTTATGCCTAGAATATGATTCTATTGATATACCGCACAAAAGTTTTGAACCCTAAGTTCTAATCCTACTCTAGCATGACAATTCTAGGAATGTAAAGACATGAAATGAATTGCTCAAATGTAAATGCTTAAAGTAAAGAGAGGGAGACGAACACGGCGAAGATTTACCGAGGTATCGGAGAGTCGTCACTCCCCACTAGTCCTCGTTGGAGCACCCATGCAAGGGTGTAGCTCCCCCTTGATCCGCGCAAGGATCAAGTGCTCTCTACGAGCCGAGCTGATTCTTCGACAGTCCATCGCGGTGAATCGCCCACAACCGCTCACAACTTGAGTTGGGTCATCCACAAGCTCCGCCAGATGATCACCGAACTCCCAATCACCACCGAGCCGTCTAGGTGATGGCAATCACCAAGAGTAACAAGCATCAACTCTCACTTGACCATGACAAGCCTAATGAGAAGGGGTGGATGCACACTTGCTACTCTCCTTGCACTAATGAGGCCTTAATCTTGGATTCTCAAATCTCAATCACCTCACTAGGCTCTTGCTCTCCTTTGCACTCTCAAGGGTGTTTCTCAGCTGAACAAATAGGCAAGAGACCTCCCTTAGACGAGTGGAGTAAGTATTTATACCCCCTCATTCAAAACATAACGTTTGGAGGCTGAGTCATCACTCTACGGGGTGACCGGACGCTCTGGTCAATTATCCCCACCACTGTGTCAGAAAGAGCCGTTAAGTTCTGACTGGACTCTGACCTACGTCCGGTCAGCACTGACCGAACACGTTCGATCAAGAAAAACGCTCTTTGGAACCTTACTGATGTTGACCAGACGCTGGCACCCAGAGTCCAGTCACTTCGCTGTTCAGCGTCCGATCAGTTAACGGATCCTGACCAGCGTCCGGTCAGCACTAACCGGATGCGTCCGGTCAGGAAACTCCCTCTTTGGAACCTCTCTGGAGTTGACCAGATGCAGGCACCCAGCGTCCGGTCACTTTTCACTCAGCGTCCGGTCGCAACCAGACGACTTCAGTTAATCAAATGAACTAACCGGACTCACGCTCCAGTGTCCGGTCACAACCAGACCAGCGTCCGGTCAGTCATTTGACCCTCCATTCAGTTCTAACTCGAAATCCAATGTGAATGAAGTTAACTCCAAGTAATCTTAGGGCTACTCCTGAGCTATGTAGTGCTAGATTTGACAAGTGTGCACCACACCTAGCCCACTAAACTCACCTAGGTCAAGCTACTAGTCCATACCCCCATTAATAGTATGGCTAAAGGAAAAACAAAGTCCTAAACTACTCTAAGTGTCTCTTCAATACCAAAACACACTTAGAACTAGTTCATCCTTAACCTTGTCGTCCATCCTTTGAAAATCGAAACGATTTTCATCGTCAGGGGCATGACCACCATGATTGCTCAATCAATTGCCATTACCATGACCTAACTTAAATTGTCTCTGCAAAACACATGTTAGTCATAGTAATCTCATGTTGTCATTAATCATTGAAACCCAACTAGCGGCCTAGATGTTTTCACCGGCTTCCTTGTCGTCAAGCCGAGCCGAGCGCCCGACGGCCGCGGCAACAGCCGGATGTGAGCGCCCTCACCCTCACGGCCACGACCTCTCTCTGTTCTGGTCCAAAAGAAAAGGCAAGGAATCAAACCCTCAATTTATTTATCTTGTATTTCAATAAAGTTAAGCCTCACATCCGATTTCGATTCTTCCTGGTTATATGTTGAAATTGAGTAGCCTGCAATTTATGGTTAGTGTGTTAATTGGGGTTTTCTATTTTTAATATATGCATATACATTTTATAAATGGAAAGCTCAAGACATAGACACTGCCAACAATAACAGAAATTCATGTCTAGATGATCTCAATTGGGAAGAGATTAAATATGATCCAGGCTTGAGAAAACAAATTGATGCTTATCATCCTAACCATAGAGAAAAGGTTAGAAGAAAATATTTAGAAAATGGACCTTGCCAGCCCCGCACATGTAATTTTCCTATTTCAGATATTGGAGACAAGCCGAGAAGATTTATCCCGGAATGGTTTGATAAGTTTGGAAGTTGGCTTGAATATAGTGAGTCAAAGGACAGAGCATATTGCTTTTGTTGTTTCTTATTCAGCGAAAAGAAGGATGCAGGATATGAATCATTTGTAGTTAATGGTTGGAATGGTTATCATAGGAAATGAAGGCTAAAGTCACATGTTGGTGGCTTACACTATAATGCAATGAAGAAGTGGAAGGTAACGGTGGAGGAGGGGGAGGGAGCGTAGTCGGGGTGGCCCAGACACGCCCCGGCTAGCCGCTGCCGACCCCCAGCACAGGCCCGAAGAGGATTGTCGGCTGGACCGACCAAGAGTTGGCGCCATGTGTGCGTACCCAGTCCCGCCCTGACTGCCCGGACGAACTCCGCCGGCCGCCGACGAGGAGGGACGCACAGATGGCCTAGGTGCCACAAGACGAAAGATCCGGCCCCTAAAGGTGCGGATCCGGCCGGCCGCCGCCGTTCGCCGCCGCAGGTGATGGGGGTGGTAGAGGAGCAAGAGAGAGTGAGCGGAAACCGCGGACGGGCGCCCTTTTTGGGGACCACCGCTGGCCGCCACCGCCGCACGTCGGAGGGCGGCAACGGCGGCCAAAGGGGAGGCCAGGAGGGGGGCGAGCTCGGTGTCCGACGTGGTCGCCCCCGAGTCGCCCATTAGGGGGGCGCTCGGGGGAAGGGCGAAAGATGCCGTTTGTAGGTACACTTCTTTTTGTTAAACGATGAGTGTTATGTTTCGACCAAAATCTCATCTCTATTGCTAGAAGTCGAATTTTATATTAAAATATAGTAGTTGTACATTAATTATGTTATTTTGATTGAACATCATATCGGTCAAGTGCAGTTATAAATTAAGTGGTGCACACCTATCATTTTGCTCTAGCTTATTTGCTGCTGCCTCGCCGACCCCGATCCGACAGCCAAAACACTCAGGCTCCCAAAACAACGGGTTATGGGTTAGCAGTTCTCATTCCAATACTTCCAATATATTATACACTCTAACAAGCTGGCCTTATCGTTTCAGAAACGCGGCGACATCCCCACATCCCCACAAGCACCTCCCGACTCCCGTGCACCCTTCGCACACACCGGTACTGGTAAAATTGGTAAGTCCTGCCAGCTTGAAGAGCACCGAAAACCCACCCCCAACCTGAAATCCCGGACCTCGAAATCCTAACCTCTAGCCCCGCTCAGGGTTGTCCGGATCTCGCCGTTGGCAAACATATGGATTTGAGAGAGGCAGAGAGACTGAGAAAGAAGCGAGGAAGGCAGGCCGCGTGACTCCGTCAGAAGATCAGGCCGCGCATCAGCCACTGACATGTCAACGCACGCACTACCTGAAAGAAGTGATTACCTCTGGATAAATAGTATACTGATGCTTTCTCTTTACACTGAAGTTCCCTGTTCGATCAGCTCCCCGCTTAACAAGAACAAGCCAAGTGAGAAATGGATCAGAGCCTGCACGCACTTCGCTGCTGCCAAGTGCCAAATGATGAAGGGCAAGCACTTCGTTGCTGTTGCTGTGTAGGCAGCAGGATCGAATTGCAAACACATCAAAAAGTTTCAGTGGGCTACACTTACCAGGCAGGGGACAAGAAACTCAAAGATCATCCAGGTCCGTCCTCATCATGGTAATATGTTACATCCTCCATGAACTCTACATGGAGATGCATAGTATCACTCATTGGCATCCCACCTACTGTTGGAGGCTTAGGACTAGGAGTATCTTACATCCCTATTAACCTTTTCTCTTCGGTCCTATAGCAAACACTGCACAATACATACACGCATACTTGCACGTTCAGCGTGAGTTGTTCAACTGAAGTAATTATGCCGACCCCAGGTGGAAAATGGTCTAAATTCTAAGCTCCTATATATGTTTCCTCGTCTGCACAGATATGCTTCATGGATGAAACATTCCCACAGAATAGAATAGGTGAGTTCTCCTGCAGCAACAGAGGACAGATCAACCACACGCTCTCAACACATCCACTATAAATTCAGTGCCATTCCACATTGTGGAAACAGAAGCAAAGCTAAATTGTTTGCTTACCTTTCCTAAACTGGTGATCCCGAAGCAGCCAAGGTAGGCACACGGTCAGGCCCCTCCGACGGTGGCCTAGTTTCCATCTCAAAATGTCTCTTCATTTCTTCCTGAATCTGAAAAGAGAAGAGGCAGACAGAGCACAGAGTGTTACCAATGCATTGGTTTTCATGTAAATTCAACTATTCTGGACAAAAGTCACCGTACCTGCAGCACCTCTCTGTAGAACACCCAAACCCAAATGGACAGAATTACGATGTATCCTACAGTTCCAAGGGACCACAGGACTGCTTTGGGGGTGTGTGCGCAGAAACGTAGTATCACACATAATCCGGCACTGAGGAATAGAAACACCAGAAGCACGAGCCATTTGAAGATGTGGAATCCAATACCATCAATGGACTCACTGTCTTTCAAGTATGACCCAAGAGCTGTCAGAAGGCAGCTGATGAAGAATGATATGACGCTTCCAATGATAACGCCTTGCATCGCATGGTCCTCAAAGGTCTCTTTTGCATTTGCAGCAAGGGGGTATGACAATGAAAAAATGACGAGACTGCCACAGAACACAAGCAGCTTCTCCGCAATAGTGTAGAAGGAACTAAGTAAACCCTGCGTCAAAAAAAAATGCATAACAAATTTTGATGGCTTAGATATCGGACCACATTTTGATGGCTCTAGTCCATTTGAATGGCAGCCAAAGGGGTAAAAGAGAATAGGATAAATCACCTTCTTCCTGTTCGCAACAGAATTATTTACTGGAATGCTGGCCAACCGCTGTTAGGAATCAACAACACAAAACATCGTCAGAAAGTGAAATGGAAAAATAGGATAGAGAAAAGAGAAGATAACTACATAAGTTTCTCACCTCAGATGCAACCCGAGGAAGCCTATTTCGTAAATCCCTAGTTTCATAGTTGTTGCCAAAATGGCTGCCCTCATTTCTCATACCACTGATAAGCCCCTGCAGAACACCAAAAAGGCAATAAGCCACGATGTCAATGTGTTCATGTTTATTAGGAAAAGAAAAATGATAGCATACCATACTGCTAGCAGAGTTAAATGATGATGGGCACTGCAGATCATCGTCCTGATGAAACAAAAATAGCACATATTAGCGTACTGCAGCTCACCACCTCGTAGACACCCTTTTCATCATAATACGATTAATTCATCAGAATTTTCTGAACATGCTAAGAGAATTGGTTTTTCATAAGCCTTGGGAAATGAATGGCATGCATATGTAGTGCCATATGGGTCCAGTCAGACAATTAATTATGAAATGGATTTGAATTACAAAGAGGATCTGATACAAACTACTGGCCCTTAATCCATTCTTGTATGCACAGTTTTTCCATGCATAAAACAACTATACAAGCAGTAAACAATCTATGGCCAATGACTAAGTTTAGCTGGTTTAACAATCAGTAAGCAATCACAAGAATTAAAAATATACCAAGCCAGTCAAAGGCTGAAGAAAAAACATACCACTGCATATAAATATGCATTCACAAAGCCACCACAAGATATAAAACTGCGAGATAAATATCCCAACAGAGTAGCAGACTGAGCTAAAATGAATGCCACATTCACAATTGTGAATTGTCAGACTGAAGCTGAAGTGGAAATTGCATCAACCATTCAGACTATCATATACCTTTCATTTATGAAATCTGGTGGGTAAAGAACATTCCCTTATTACTGCTCATTGCTTTATTAGTTTATCTGTGGGTGTTATGCTACTCCTACTTTTGTCAATATTGTTGAGTTGACAATGCACTCTATGTAAGACACCACTCTCATTGGTGTAAGCAATCATGAGAAATTGAAATCATAGTTCATATACCTACTTTCACTATATCATATGTTAGTACAGATTTAGCCCCAAAGTCAGATTCTTATCCAAAGGACCTGAAACTCCTGTACTGAGCATATGTCGCTCTGTGATTTCACCAGTTTTTGGATTTTGCTGGAGTACTGAAGCCTAACCAGGTAAGGAATAAGTTTTATTATAAAATCCAGGAGCTAGCTTGAGAAACCCAGATTTGGTGAGCAGATTTAGATTTACGTAGTAAGAAAAGAATTGGGAAACGTTTTCGATCTACCATTCTTCCTCCAATTTGACTAGCACAGGTTTTCGGTCATTCAGCCGACCCCACAACTTGTTAAAATCAATGAGACTAGCATGCCAAAGAATTAATTAGGTGGGGAAATTAACTAAGCTAGCTGACCACAAAATACCATTGGGTACCCACTTGCATCCTTGGAGCAGGATTGAGTGGCAGGGAAGAAAAGACAAGAGTCATGCGGGGAGCATGCAGATGAAGATTGAGGTAGGGCCGAAACAGCTGCAAGATCTGATTTTAAGAGAATGTTACACAAAGGAAACAGCAAATGGAGAATCTCAGTAGATGAACAAAACTATGATGGCTCACCAAGTCCTTGTTTTAATGATACTGTAAACACAGCCATATACAACAATTTGAGGATTTTCCTATAAATCCAACCGAAGCATCCTTGCACACCTTTCATTGGTCAGAAGGACCCTACTGTTCTAACCAAAGGCATAATTACCAATCTTACTGGTGGTTCTTCTGCATTCATAAGCATTCCTGGGTCTGGGTTCAGTACCACCTTTGCAACCAGTCTATACCGTCGGGGCTTCTGATTTTGGTCCTTAGTATGTGGCTGCACCACAAACTAGAGCTGATTTCACTGGGAGTCTGGGACATTGTAGTAGAGAGGGATATGGGATTCATAAAGTGAGGGAGAGGATCCATTTGCTCAATCTTTTAGCAAAGGCCCTGAGCTTGAATTTCCAAGCTTTAATGACGAAGATCCAGTAGGTTTGTTAAGCAAACTGCAAAAAATTTTGAACTGGGTGAAGTTTGCTGAAATTTTTCTTTCAAGAAGAGAAGCACTCGGCACTCACTAAGGGGTCACCAGATCAGCATGCTTGCACGCACACTCAAAATCTCCAATGGCACTGATTCTGTAGGATGCGAGGAATGAATGCTTCTGAGAGAAACTATGTCACTATTGAGTCCTTCAAATAAATGCAACAGAATAATAAGCTGCCAGCTTACACTGATAGGTTTGAAGAGCTTATGGCATTGATAAAAGGAAAACTACCCAATCCTGCTTGAAGATTACTTTTCTGTGTATTTTATTATATATGATCTCAATGTGTACACCAAGAGCCCTCTGAAAATATGAAATCTCATGAACCCGGGACAATAGTAAAAGCATATTGTTCATGTGAAAGGTCCTAATGGCTAGAGGGGGGTGAATAGCCTATTAAAAATTTCTACAACAACACTTAACAAACCGGTTAGACAAATAAAAGGCAAAGCGAATGTTGCGCTAGCCTGCTGTCGGGTACATAAACCTGGGGTCCCTAATGGACCTGCTTCCCAGCAAAAGCTCGGCCAGCAGACGACGTTGCGAACAACGCGCAATTCCTGGGCCGGCCTAGATACCCAACGACAGGCCGGAAGGGCGATCCAGTCTCCGACCGGAAGGCCTGGCCAAGGAGGAACGACGCTTGCTTCCGACTCCGGCCTGCCTCTCCGACCGGAAGGCCTGGCCAAGGAGGGACGACGCTCGCTTCCGACTCCGACCCGCATCTCCGACCAAAAGTACACCGAACCTCTACTTACAGCTTTTCTCCGACCGTCGCGGTCGGAGCCGACTGGGAAACAACCGAACGGGGACGCCCGCTCGGTAAGGACCCAAAGAGTCAGGCGGAGCAAGTAAGGCAGGGCGCTGAAGTCAAACCGCAATACCGAGGACCGTACCCTGCACACCTGCGGGACAGTACTGTCAGGTCATGTCAGAAGGGTGCTCTGCAACCTTCCAAACATGTCAGAGCACGAACAGTATTATGGGCGTCGACATTTGTCCTACAGTATGGTAGGCGCCGACATTATTCATACCAGAAGATCACGATGGAGCCTACCACATGCGTCTGGGCGTCAACAGTATTGTGGGCGCCGACAAACCACCTTGTATCCGACGCCGTGGGCAACAAGACTAGGTAGCACACACACTCTCTTTCTCTCACACTCTTTCTCTTGTAAAGCCGTCCCCTTCATCTATAAAAGGGGATGCGTTCTCTCCAAAATAAGGACAATCGATTCACATAGATGATTCGGACAGCCAACAAAGGATTCGAACCAACGATTCGAACCAACGATTCCAACAAACAACAAACAGATCACTCCAATTCTCTCTGCTTGTCTCTAGAACTCTAAAGCCCAACAAAGCATACATTCGAACACTTAGCGCACGTCGGAGCTCCCATCACTATTGGCCCTTCGGTCCGGAGTCCGACCGGACCTCTGATACCCCCCATCTTACTCCCTCTCGTTTGTAACCCCACAGTAAACTTCGAGCACCTGGGCTCAGGAATAAAGTCACCGACCGACTCAAACTGGACGTAGGGCACGTTGCCTGAACTAGTATAAACCCCGTGTCATTGAGTGCTAGGCCACATCCGATCACAACGTACGGCAAAACTACAAATATTTACGTGTTGGTCACTTTTCGCACCGACAGTTGGCGTCGTCTGTGGGGAGGACGCCGTACGTTCACGCCTTTGGTCATCGGATGGCCCACCTTTCCGCCATCTTTGGCATGGCGGGCTCAAGCGATACGACTCGCTTCGGCTCGCTGGAGTTTCCCGCGCTCCCACCTGTTGGGATGTGGGTTCCTCCCGTCTTTGAGCCGTCTCAGGCCTTCCTCTTCGGAAGCCTGGACTTTGTCGCCGACCAGCTCGGCGTGGTTCACCTCCACGAGGAGGCACTTGTCCCGATGCCCATCGGAGGAGGAGCGCCCTCCGTCGGCTCCGGGCCACCCGACGACCTCAACGACGAGACGTCTGCGCTTCGCGCCGAGTCCACGCTGGGCTCAAACCCCATCGTGAGTAACGTACATCTTGTGCTTTTTACTCGCTTTTATATTTTCCGCCGACTCTCGGAGGGACCCGTTCCCTGCCACGACCGCCAGCGACCGGTTCCCCTACGGCCTCGCGTCCCCCGCAGACGCGTACGCACGGGGGCTCCGAAGGATGCTGACGTCGCCCCCTCTCACATCCGAATTCGTGGGGATGGCGGGCTACGCTCCCGCCTCTTTCCATGACGTCATGGATGACGATGTTGAGAGCGACGACTCCAGCATCGGCGACGTCGTGGCACCTAGCCGCCCTCTGTCCCGGGAGTGCGCTATGGCGAACGCTCCGGGACAGCCACCGGTGGTAGCGGAGTCTCTAGAGACCCACACCCCTCCAGACCCTCGCGCGGAGGCCCTCGCGAGTGCGCAGGAGCACGGCGAGGAGCTACGACAAAGGCGGTAGAACCAGTCGCCACCTGCGCCGGCGGCCTTTCGGCGCAAAACAGCGTCGCCCGTCGCGCGCGAATAACCCAGCCGAAAGGGCGCTGGTCGTCGCGCCCGCCAGGTCCAGCACAACATCATGGATGGGGGGAATGATCCCCCACAGTTCACTCAGGCTGGCCATAACATCGCCGCTGCGGCGATGCTTCTGCGCGGCCTTACAGAGCCCGTCGACCCCCAGGAGCAAGCGATTCAATGGAACCTCCAGGCGCTGGTGGAAACCGCCGCCGTTCAACAGGCGGAGAGCTCCGCGTCGCGACACCGACTCGTGGCCTCTCTCCCCACCAGGGGAGTGGGGACGCACCAGACAAATCGCTCCATCCGCTCACCACTACAGGCGACAGGCGCGGAACAGGAGGCCGCAGCTGCACCACGGCCTGACCGGGCGCCCGCTCCACACCGACCCCCTGTGCGCGAACGCCTCGGGCCGAACCAAGACGCTCGCAGCGTCATCAACAACCGGCGCTAGGCCCGGCATGATGATGACGTCCATCAGGCGGCGGTGAGAGCAGGCGGCACGAGCTCCGGCCAGACCATCGAGGGGACCGGTGAGACACACCCCAGGCATGGTCGCCGACCCAACGACCGGAGTCCCAGCCCGGATGGCCCGGGAGCACGGGCCTTTGGCCGACGCATCCAGAGAGCGCCATTCCCACAGTGCTTCCGACCGCCTACCAACATCGCCAAATATACCGGGGAGACGAATCCCGGCATATGGCTCGAAGACTTCCACCTCGCCTACCGAGCCAGAGGAGTGGATGATGACCACTTCATTATTCAATACCTCTCCATCTGCGTGGGGGAACATGTTCGAGCGTGGCTCGAATTCCTCCCGCATGACAACATCCGCGACTAGACGGACCTCAAGAGGATCTTCGTCGGGAATTTCCAGGGGACGTATGTCGGCCCGAGGAACTCCTGGGATCTTAAGAGCTGCCAACAGGAGCCCAACGAGTCCCTACGGGATTATATCCGTAGGTTCTCGAAACGAAGCAACTCCCTTCCTGATGTCGTCGAAGCGGACGTCATCAGCGCATTCCTCTCTGGGACAACCTGCGAGTCCCTGATCCACAAGCTTGGCTGCCGGAAGCCCCGTACCACCCGCGACCTGCTCGACGTCACCACGAACCACGCCTCCGGCGAGGAGGCGGTCTTCAACGGAGGCCAGGACAAGGGCAAGGCCAAGCGCGAGGACCAAGACGAGGGCCCCTCCACACAGAGGGCCAAAAAGAACAAGAAGGATCGGCGCCGACTGGCCAACTCCGCGTTGGTCATCGCGGCTGATCGCGCGGGCAAGCAGCCCCAGCAAGGCCAGCTTGACCATTTCGACAAGCTCATGGATAGCCCATGCACAAACCACGCTTACCCCGTCAAGCACCTCTACAAGGACTGCGAGCTCCTCAAGCGCTTCCTACGACAGGCCAGCGGGCCGAAAGAAGGAAAGGGCAAGGAGGCAGCAGCCAAGAAAGGAGGCGCGGCGGGCAAGGATGGGGACGGCTTTCCCGGCCCCGAAGAATGCATCATGATCTTCGGGGGATCCGATGCCATCTACTCCAAGCGCCAGCACAAAGTGCGCTACAGAGAGGCATGCGTCGCCGAGACGGCCGTCCCCACCTTCCTTTGCTGGTCAGAATCTCCGATCACTTTTGATCAGAGGGACCATCCTTCCCACATCGCCAGACCAGGTCGCTACCCGCTCATCGTCGATCCCATCGTCCGCAAGAAGCGCCTCACCAAGGTGCTGATGGACGGAGGCAGCGGCCTCAACATTCTCTATGTCGACACCCTCAACGCCATGCGCATCCCCCGGTCGGAGCTCCGCCCGGCGAGCTCTCCCTTACACGGCGTGATCCCGGGGACGCAGGCGTACCCACTCGGGCAAATCGACCTGCCCGTCACGTTTGGCGACCGAGCC